AAAGAATGAAACTGGATCCCTACTTTTCACCATATACAAAAATTAACTCAAGTTGGATTAAAGAGTTAAATGTAAGACCTTAAGTTATAATAATTCTGGAAGAAAGCTTAGGAAATACCCTTCCCAACATTAACTTTGACAAAGAATTTACGGCTAAGTCTCCAAAAGCAATTGCAACAAAAAAAAAAATTGACAAGTGGGACCTAATTAAACTAAAGAGCCTCTGCACAGCAAATCTCAATAGTCTAAACAGAGAACTTACAGAATGGGAGAAAATATTTGCAAACTATGCATTCAAAAAACGTCTCATACCCAGAATTCACAAGCAAAATTTAAACAAATCAACAAGCAAAAAATAATAATAATAATTCTATTAAAAATGGGCAAAGGACATGAACAGAAAAGAAGGAAAAGAAAAGAAAACATACAAGCAGTGAAAAAATGAAATGCAAGTCAAAACCACAATGAGATACCATGTCACACCAGTCAGAATGGTGAATATTAAAAAGTCAAAAAATAACAGATGCTGACAAGGCTGCAGAGAAAACGGAATGCTTACCCACTGTTGGTGGGAATAAAAATTGGTTCAGCCACTGTGGAAAGCAGTTTGGAGATATCTCAAAGAACTTAAAACAGAACTACCATTCAACCCAGCAATCCCATTACTGGGAATATACTCAAAGAAAAATGAATCATTCCACCGAAAAGATGCATGCACTTGTATGTTCACTGCAGTGCTATTCACCATAGCAAAGACATGGAATCAATTAGGTTCCATTACAGTAAAGTGGATGAAGAAAATGTGATACATATATATCATGGAATACTATGTGGTCATAAAAAGATTGACATCATATCCTTTTGCAGTAACATGAATGCAGCTGGAGGCCATTATCCTAAAAAAATTAACTCAGGAACAGAAAACCAAATACTGCATGTTCTCACTCATAAGTAGGAGCTAAACATTGGGTACTCATGGACATTAAGATGGGAACAATAGGCACTGAGAATCACCAGAGCTGGGAAGGAGGGTGGGGAACAAGGGTTGTAAAAGTATACTCTGTGCTCACTACCTGGATGATAGGACCATCCATATCCCAAACCTCAGCATCACACAACATACTTAGGTAACAAACCTGCACACGTACCCCCTAAATCCAAAGTAAAAGAAATGAAAGACATATGTAGTCAAAGTGTTTAAAGAAAGTAGAGGGATATGAGCAAGGCAAAAACTGTGAGCTAAAATATGAATAAATGAATTAGCTAAAATAAACACTTCAATGTCAGGACAAGGAAAAAATATAAAAGAGGGATCAAAATAAATTGAAGGAATATGCCTAATGAATATTTGGAAAAACAAATTTAAATAAATGGGAGAGAAAATAATAGAAATAGGACAAGTTTAAGCATTTTAAAGAACTATTAATACACATTTTCATTAAATATCAACCAAGACAAGCATAAAAGGCATATATATGTGCCTGAAAATATCATAATAAATGTAAAGCTAAATACCAAAATAAAGGAAATGATTTAAACTCATAAAAATATAAAATCCAAATTAACCATAGTGCAACAATAGATTTTTACCTCCTTTCTTAACATCTTCATGAAATTGATAAATAACTAGATATTATGTTCAAAGTTCTGAGTTAAAATACCTGTCAATTTGGAATTGCATACCTAGCTAAATTATTTTTCATGAATGTTAACAAAATGTAAATTAATTCATGCAAGTAATATAAACTAAGTTTAATTCAATTATTTACATCTTTAAGAAATCTATTTAAAATATTTTAAATAAAATGCTGTTTCCTATTAAAAATGAAAACAAAAGAGGCAGTAAAGGCGTGAATAAAACTAAAACTTAGAACCTAAGACATTTAAAATACTAGTATTACTAAATAGACTACTAGTAATACTGATGGAATACTAGTAATGCTAAAGTATTCCTAAAACTGCATGCTATGTAATCAGAGTAGGATAAGCAAATAAAGACAAACTTATGGATAGAAGAAAAGTAGAGGGGTTAAGTAGCTGCACAGCAAGAAAGGAGTGAAGCTGTGGTCAGAGAGAAAGATAAATGAATTGATTACTTCAGGGATGGAGTGAATATGGATGAGAAGGTGAACTAAGTGCAATGACAGAGAAGGTCACAAGAGATGGGTTGGTCAAGGAACTGAAAGCCAGGTTCTCAGTTATGTCATGTACATGGGCTCTCATGGCACTCAGAACCTTTTAACAACTACAAAAACACTTATTATGGTATTCTGAATATACTTCCAAAGAGAGAGCATTCACAATAGTAAAAGGTTCACATCTGATATGGTTTGGTTGTGTCCCCACCCAAATCTCATCTTGAATTCCCAGGTGTTGTGGGAGGGACCTAGTGGGAGGTAATTGAATCATGGGGCAGGTCTTTCCTGTGCTGTTCTCATGATAGTGAGTAAGTCTCATGAGATGTGATGGTTACTATAAGGGGGAGTTTTCCTGCACAAGGTCTCTTTACCTGCTGCCATCCACGTAAGATGTGACTAGCTCCTCCTTGCTTTCTGCTATGATTGTGAGGCTTCATGTGGAACTGTTAAGTCTACGTGGAACTGTTAAGTCCAATTTAACCTCTTTCTTTTGTAAATTGTCTAGTCTCAGGTATGTTTTTATCAGCAGTCTGAAAACATACTAATATAGTAAATTGATACCAGTAGAGTGGGGTGCTGCTGAAAAGATACCTGAAAATGTGGAAGTGACTTTGGAACTGGGTGACAGGCAGAAATTGGAAAAGTTTGGAGCGGTCAGAAGAAGACAGGAAAATGTGGGAAACTTTGGAACTTCCTAGTGACTTGTTGACTGGCTTTGACCAAAAGCTTGATAGTGATATGAACAATAAGGTCCAGGCAGTCTCAGGTGGTCTCAGGTGAAGATGAGGAACTTGTTGGGAACTGGAGCAAAGGTGACTCCTGTTATGTTTTAGTAAAGAGAATGGTGGTGCTTTACCCCTGCCCTAGAGATTTGTGAAACTTTGAACTTGAGAGAGATGATTTAGGGTATCTGGCAGAAGAAATTTCTAAGCAGCAAAGCATTCAAGAAGTGACTTAGGTGCTGTTAAAGGCATTCAGTTTTATAAGGGAAGCAGAGGCTAAAAATTCAGAAAATTTGCAGCCTGACAATGCAATAGAAAAGAAAATTCCATTTTCTGAGGAGAAATTCAAGCCAAATGCATAAATTTGCATAAGTAATGAGGACTCAAATGTTAATACCCAAGACAAGGAGGAAAATGTCTCCAGGGCATGTCAAAGGTCTTTATGGCAGGCCCTCCCATCATAGACCCAGAGGCCCAGGAAGAATAAGTGGTTTTCTCAGTCAGGCACAGGGTACCCATGCTGTGTGCAGCCTAGGGACTTGGTGTCCTGCATTTCAGCTGCTCCAGCCATGGCTGAAAGGGACAAATGTAGAGCTCAGGCTGTGGATTCAGAGGGTGCAAGCCTCAAGCCTTGGCAGCTTCCATATGGTGTTGAGCCTGCGGGTGCACAGAAGTCAAGAACTGGGGTTTGGGAACCTCCGCCTAGATTTCAGAGGATACATGGAAATGCCTAGATGCCCAGGCAGAAATTTGCTTCAGGGACAGGGCCCTCATGGAGAACCTCTTCTAGGGCAGTTCAGAAGGGAAATGTGGTGTTACAGCCCCCACACAGAGTCCCTACTGGGACACCACCTAGTGGAGCTGTGAGAAAAGGGCCACTGTCCTCCAGACCCTAGAATGGAAGATCCACTGACAGCTTGAATAGTGTGCCTGGAAAAGTGACAGACGCTCAACACCAGCCCATGAAAGCAGCCAGGAGGGGGGCTATATCCTGCAAAGCCACGAGGGCGGAGCTGCCCAAGACCATGAGGACCCACTTCTTTCATCATCGTGACCTGCATGTGAGACATGGAGTCAAAGGAGATCATCCTGGAGCTTTAAGATTTGATTGCCTTGCTGGATTTTGGACTTGCATGGGGCCTGTAGCCCCTTTGTTTTGCCAATATCTCCCATTTGGAATGTTTGTATTTATCCAATGCCTTTACCTCAGTTGTATCTAGGAAGTAACTAGCTTGCTTTTGATTTTACAGGCTCACAGATGGAAGGGACTTGCCTTATCTCAGATGATACTTTGGACTATGGACTTATGAGTTAATGCTCAAACAAGTTAAGACCTTGGAGGACTGTTGGGAAGGCATGATTGGTTTTGAAATGTGAGGACATGATATTTGGGAAGGCCCAAGGGTAGAATGATATGGTTTGGCTGTGTCCTCACTCAAATCTCATCTTGAATTTTCACATGTTGTGGGAGGGACCCAGTGGGAGTTAATTGAATAATGAGGGCAGGTCTTTCCTGTGCTGTTCTTGTGATAGTGAGTAAGTCTCATGAGATCTGATAGTTATTATAAGGTGGAGTTTTCCTGCACAAGCTCTCTTTGCCTGCTGCCATCCATGTAAGATGTGACTTGCTTCTCCTTGCCTTCCACCATGATTGTGAGGTTTCCCTAGCCATGTGGTACTGTAAGTCCATTTTATCTTTTTTTTTTTTTTTGTAAATTGTCTAGTCTGGGTATGTCTTTATCAGCAGCGTGAAAATGGACTAATATAACATCCTAAGACTGAAAGTTGGGCATCATCAATAAAAGTGCAAATGGGAACTAAATTAAGGCATTTTCCCCTCGATTTTCAAACCACTTTGAGTAATGATGATTACTTGTACAAATTAACAAGAGTTTTTGAGCTTTACTCAGTTGTATTTCCTATATTATAAATCTTCATTAATACTCAGCTTCTCAAAGCAAATATATAAGAGAAAAACGAAGATCAAGCTTTATCTCTCCCACTTCTCTCCAACCTGCCCAACATACTTTAAAAAAGTATAAACAATTTTATGAGTATAAGGTATTACTCCTAATCATAATTGTACCAGCAAGTATATTACAATAATTAATTTAATAAAAACAAGGAGAACGATTCTTACCAAAAGAAGGTGACTCCCTTCCATCCTCTAATCCTGAATCTCTCTCTCTGTCTCTCTTTCTGTGTTTATGACCACGATGTCTGTGACGTCGATGGCTTTTTCTTCCTCCCAAGGGCACATGTACTCCAATAAATAGTGTTCGATGACCTTCATACGGAAGTAAACACAAAAATTAAACTCTAAATTATTCCAGGGCACAGTATGATGATTTACATGTTAATGGAGACTCAATTTAATTTAATTCAGCAAGTCATTTTTGATGTTTGTGATACATAAAGCTTGGAGCTTGGCACTGTCTTTTGGCATTTTACCTAATTAAGTGTACCATAGCTCTATCACAAACATGTATAATACTAATTATTTGGTTAAATATTTTGTAATCATCACTGTCTTTATAATCTCTATGTATCTATTCCCCATGCTTAATTATACTCTTCTCATTAGAAACAAAAAAATTGTTTTATCTTCTCTCTACCTTGAGACAATTGTGTTATCTCATCAATTCCCTTCCCTTCACAGTGAAGTGTTTTTAGAAAATCACTATCTCTAATAAAACAGGTTTCACTAAGGTCTATGTTAATGCCAAATCCCACAGAGGTTTTTCTGTTCTTCTATTTCTATATGTTACACTTGATATTGGCCACTTATTATACTTAATAAAAGTCTCAAGGTACAAGACTTGTGACTCTGGCATATTGTTATAATTGTTCAATTTTATTATTAGCTATTGTTAATCTCTTACTGTGCCTAATTTATGAATTAAATTTTATCACAGGTATGTATGTGTAGGAAAAAAACAGTATACATAGGGTTCAGTACTAGCTGAGGTTTCGGGCATCTTTTGGGGGTCTTAGAATGTATCCCCTACAGATAAAGTGGGACTACTAGAAAAAGAAATGAGCTATCAACCACAAAAAAAGACATGAAAGAATGATTAATGCATATTGCTAGGTGAAAGGAGTTTTAAAAGCTACATACTATATTATTACAACTATATGACATTCTGGAAAAGCTAAAACTATAGAGACAGTAAAAATATCAGCAGTTGTCAGGGCATCAGGGAGAAGGTATAGGGATGAACAAGTGGAGCACAGGGCATTTTTAGGGAAGTTAAACCATCCTTGATACTGTAATGGTAGATACATGTCATTAAACATTTGTCCAAACCAATAGAACTGTATAACACAGAATGAACCCTAATGTAAACCATGGACTTTGGTTGATAATAACCTATTAATGTTGGTTTATCAATTGTAACAAATGTACTGATCTAATGTAAAATGTTAATAAGAGGAGAAATTGTGTGCAGCAGGGAGAGGAAATATATGGGAACTGTCTGAAGGGTCTGTGCAATTTTTTTATAAACTTAAAATTGATCTAAAAGGTAAAGCCTATCCAAGAAAGCTAACATTCATAGCTATTTATAGCACTAGTAGCTATAGAAAAATTTACTTTATGAGGAAGCGAAAGTACAAGCAAACAAAGGGATATTTGTATCACCAAGTAGATTATATATAGGAGAGTGTTGTATTAGGGAAAAAACCTCTAAAGAAAACATTAAATTACTAGGTTAAAAAAAAAATCTTACTTTCTTAAGTGTCAAAGTATACAAAATATTATAATGGCAATACTATGGATGAAGGCTTATGTTCCCCTGAGGTTTATATTTTAAAGTCCCAACCCCAAATGTGACTGTATTTAGAGATAGGGCCTTTATACAGGTAATTAAGGTTAAATGAGGCCATAGGAGTGAGGTTGGATCCATCCAATTAGTGTTCTTAAAAGAAGAAGCACCAAAGAGCTACCTCTCTTGCTCTCTCTCCAAGCACACAAAGAGGTAACACAATGATGCAAGGAGATGGTAACCACCTATAAGCCAAGAGAGAAATCTTCAGAATGAGGCCTGCCTGGCTAGCCATCTTGATCTTAGGTGTCCTAGCCTCCAGAACTGTGAGAAAATTTATTTCTGTAGTTTAAGCTGCCCAGCCTGTGGTATTTTTTTCTGGCAGCCCCAGTCAACTAATACAGCAAGGAAGGCCTAAAACAAAGCCTTACAATAATAAGTTTCAGAAGACATGTAATTGAAATTGTAAGCTTTCTAAAATATTCAATGTATAACACTTAGGCTGATAGTGTTTCTTTGAAAGGGATAACTGAATTCTATTAAAACAAATTTGCCTACTTTAGTGGATATATTTGTACTTAAATTACATGATTTTTTCAATAAAACACAAGAAAGAAAATATTTATTTTTTATACACAGGGTTAAATTACCTCCAAATTCTAGAAGGATTGGAGGTGAGATTGGCATGAAGCTATAGAATTAGTTACTCCTCTATTGCTGGAAAAAATCCGATATTATATATATTTTAATAAGGGATGTAAATCTTTTATAATCCTAAAAATAATTATAGATCAATCCTCTGACAAACTGAAAGCTGAAAAATAGTTTGTATATTCAGGTTTTTGTCCTTTACGGATTCATGCAGGCAAGTTAAAAATTATAATTGGTTCAAGTAAATATAGACAATTAAAATGCACAAAAAGCCCTTTACCAATAAGGCTCAATTTTGGAAAAAGGAAATAAAGGGAAGTGAATTAATATATATATATGTGTCTGGTCCTGTTTATTATTTTATTGACCACAATATTAAGTTATATTATGTGAGAAACAATATTCATTAAAAGCATGATTTCTGAGATTGAGTCAAATGCTTACATTCACATCCAGTCTGTGTCACTTATATTTATGCGACCTTTAAAAAAGTACTTTATCTTTCATTTTATCTATAAAATGAAAATATTAGTAGCTATATCATTCAGAAAGTTTTTTTTAATCATTCACGAAACAAAAGGTTCAAAAAAGTTAAGTCACATTTTAAGTCCCACAGCTAATGAACAAAACTACTTTCTCTTCCTTTCGAGTTTAAAACATATCAACAGAGCACAGAGAATTTGGGGAAGTAATAAGTTGCCACCTCTTAACTGTTGAAGAAAGTATCAAAAGTGTAGGTGGCAATGTTAGCATCAGCTGGGGAGAATACCTTCTTCTCTCCTGTAATTCCTTTTTGGTTAAAGTTTTCTTTGTTTGAAGTAGAGATGCTACCTGTCAAAATTAGTACTACCTGTGTGATGGCATATTGCACAGTCCCAACTACAGCTAAAGTGAAGTGCCAGGGGTTGGAGAAAACAGCAGATGGTGTAATTTTGAAATAGAATGATAAGAGAAATAGTAAAGAACAAAAAATATTAAGAGAGAAGCTGGGCAAAAAAGATGAAGAGGTAAGTAGGATATGAAGAGACAGAAATGATAAAAAGAGCAAAATTAAAAAAGGAGAAAAAATACAAATAAAGAAGAAACAAGTAGAAAAGTTATATGAGAATAAGAAAATGGCCTCAGGAAATATGGTAACAATGATTACAAGTGACACCATTTCTATATTATCAGATAAATCAAGAGAAAAGACAGTACATTTCATTAGTTTTGTAACACATTTAATACATGTAAAGTTACAAGCTGGTGAAAATTACCTTTGTTCTGTCCCAACTGCTGAAACCCTTCTAGTGAGCCAAAAATCAATTTTCTAAGTGTTCCCCTTACTTTCCTAGCTCAAACATATACCTGTCTTTCTCTGGAGGAAAATGTCTCCCCTACAATCTCTCAGTGATGGCTGCTTCTCTCCCACAGTTCCTATGCAAGATGGAAAGGTGTCAGTCTTGTCCCTGTGACCTCCGGCTGGGTGAGTGAAATAAGCAAAGTGGCATTTCTTTGCTCCATTCTGACATTTTCAGACCATTTCCCCATATCCTTCCTGATATCCTTCAGATTTAAATCTCATGGTTGACATTACTCACTACATACTTTGCCTCATGATTGCTGTTATCCACTAAGGTCCAGGTAATTCCCACTCAACCATTTGAGTTCTTTGTATACTGTCATTCTCTTTAGTACTGCCTTAATTTGTAAGATTTTGAAACACATATAGATGATTCTTGTGATATTCTGGCCTTTCAGTTCCTTAAACTTTAATCTTCCAATGATATTTCATCCTAGGCTTTTCATTGGCAATAATTACAACCCCTCCATATAAGCAAGGCAGGTATCTTTGATTTGTCCACTGATGTATCCCAAATACCTAGAACAATGCTTGACAGTTTTTGGTGCTCAATAAAGATCCAATGAATAAATAGTTCTTTTACATAGAGAGGATGATTTTCAAGTATAATAGATAGATAGTAGACCTAATAATGCATTATGCTACTAAACACTTTATGAAAGGAATGGAAACAAGCTAATAGCCACAATTTTATAGCAACAGTACCCTAAAACTGCTAAAATTCATGATTGTGGAACTATGGAGAAAACGTTTTCATGCTTCTGCATGGTTAGGGACTTATAAAGCAAGACAGACTGAAATCTGGATTAAATGTGCACTGAATAGACAGAAACCTTCAGAGATATGCAGACATTTATTTTCTACAGCTCTGTGTTCACATTTCAAAGGATAACAAAATCCTACAGCTACTGGTTTACATTTCAAAGGCTTTAAACTGGGACCTTCTCATTCTCTCCCCTGAAGATTTGCTTATTTTATATAAGGGAGATAAGGTTTCTCTTCCTCTTCCAGAAAAGAAGACAGGAGAAGACCATTTACTATATAAAGAGTTTATACAGTAATTCCTATATAAAGAGTTTATATAGTAATTCCTATGTAAATTCCCAGATTCGTAATTTCAGGGCTCCCTTCCTGTGTACATAACTGTGTGCCTTCTTTCCAAGGTGGTTATTGCTATAAGCAATAATAATTGTCTGTCTTGATCCAAAAATCTCATTTGCTTTCAGGAAAAATAAATAAACATAGATATTAAAGACTTACTAATAGATTTAGGAGATTTTCTACAAAGATTACATGAGCTAATATAATAAATATAAAATATGAAAGACGATGCCTGTTACACGGTAGACAATAATACATATTAGTTCCCTTTTCCCTTCACAATGCTAGTGACTTAGAGGAAGGAATAAGAAGATGGAATGATATTTTCCTGTCCCATTTCATTTTCTTCCTGTTTCTCTCTATATTACCATCTTTTCTAAATCCTAACATTATAACGCTGGCCTAAAGAACTAGAGAATCCCCTCAGGA